GCCTCATTGCTTCCTGAGTCCTAATGAGCCATTGAGAGATAATTGCTCCTCGAGGGTCAGCACTAACTGACACCACTGCCTCTTTCATGTCATCCAGTCAAGCCCGTGTCAGCATAAATAGTACTGCAGGCTGTGTTCACTGCCTGAGTTTCCAACCAGTCCAACTTAATGATTGTTGAGTCCACTCATTTCAAATCTTCTCTGAACTGCAGAGCACAGTAATACAAACCGCAGAATCTGACACTTTCCTCGCAGCAGCAGCAGCACTTGCAATGTGTATTCAAGAACTAAGAGATGTTCTTTGATGTTGATCACGCAGCAGTGCAGCAGAAGAAGCAAGCTTTGATATTCACACCACTAACAGAATGACAAGAAACATTCAGAGACCCAAGGACTCAGCCTAACTGGATTCAGTCTGTCCCGAAGCAACACGACCCTAAATTGATTCCGACTGTACAGCTCGGACGTCCTTGGAGCCAAGGGCAAGAGTGTGCGACTTCTGAAATACAGAAAGGTCCGCACCGCTTCGATGTGATGTGATCCAAAGGGAAGGCTTGTACTCCTGGCGCATGCTGCTTCCTCTTCCGTGCTGCCAGTGGCTTTGACCTCGACAGATGACAAGGGACGGCCATAAGGGGCGATGGGAAAGTGTGGTACATGTCAGGTCTCTGCTGGCGAGAGAACTGAAGACTGGTCTCTTACATGTCCGGAAATAGATCTTTTTATGTTTGCACGGAGAGTGAAATGACTCTGCCTTCACATGGCCAGTGTTACTTTATATGGAAACACTAGCGATTTTACTTATTTCTCATGTTTCATACGGAAGAACAGCTTTGGTTGTCGGAGTCACGGCCACTAATGGGTCAGACTTGCACACTGTCAGCAGAACACTGTGTTTAAAAAGCACATTAGCTATGTCTCAGCCATGGTTACAGTAAAGTCATTCAGAACCAGGACAGGATACTTGACAGATTTACGTAACATTGCTAACCTCACTTGTCTTAATGGATTGTTGTTCTTTAGACAGAGGTGGCCATTACATAAAAGTTCTTAATGGCTTTACTCAGACTTAACCCTGGCACCTTCTGTATGATATATTTGTTTAACCCTCCTGTTATCCTTGGGGTCAATTTGACCCCATTCAATGTTTAACGTATCTAAAACAAATGGTTCACATTATATTTTTTGTTTAGTATTTCATGACTTTTCCTAATTTAGTGAGGACTAGTGGGTAAACATAAAATGAACATAAAGATCTTTTTTGAAGGTCCTGTACGCACTTTGTACGCATCGGTGTTCCTTGGGGTCAATTTGACCACAGGCTGTTTTAGTAGTATAAAACATGTCAAAATGTCAATGTTTTACACATATTTGTCTTGATTGTATAGGATGATATTGAGGTGACTATTTCATTCAAATGTATCATTGTAAAAACAACGACCCTCTGCTTTAGTTATTGGTCCTTTAACAACATCAAACATATCTTACTTTAACATTTTATTTAAATCATAAGAGATTTTATGGTGATTTATATAATTGTCGATAGTCACATACAGTAATAGGAGTTCTGGATGTATAATGGGGTCTGTGGGGGGGAAGGTTGGGCTAATGTTTTATTTAAATGGTTATTTAGGTAGTCAACTAAGATACCTAAAGAACCAGAGACATACATTTTGGTTAAAATGTGGAATATGATCATTGTCTTGAGTTTTAAACTACTGGGGTCAAATTGACCCCAGAGGATAAAGGGTGTAAAGTAAATCTGAGGATAACAGGAGGGTTAAGGATGTGTATGAGTGTATATCCTTTTAACTGTGCATTTCTGAATAGATGTTCTCATCAATTGCGTAATTTATTAGTTAGCACATCGTGTTGCCCATTTCCTGATGTCAAAGAGTAACCTAGCATAACATTCTAACATGTTTAGTCAGGGTATGATTGTCGTGTGTAAAGCAATTTTGCCAGATGTTCATAGTTTCCTAATTGCCAATGCAAAATGAAATTCAGAAGATCAGGGAAGATAGTGCAGGTCAGATTTGTACTGCGGTTGGCTCCATTTGCTACACGAGGGAAGTGTTTAAGACTTATTTCACCTAGCTCCCTCAGTGTGTTCCAGTTCAGCAGCCCACTTGTATTTGCTTTGTGCACAAGAGATGATGGTTAAGTAAAGGATTCATTATACTGCTTCTAATAAGGCAAACAAGATACATATCATTTTCGCCATTGCCATTTACCTTACTAAAGCCGCCCATAAGTTAGGCTTGTGATGTGTTGAATGTGCCACTTGAGAGGTAAGATTCCAATTAAGGGGTTCGTGTCTACATGGGTTTTGAGATACATTAGTTAAGGGGAAGTTTGACCTTACATTGGTTAATGGTAAATGCTAAACAGACTTGCTTGAAGTGCTTTTATACTACAGGAGCAATTTGAGGTCCGGTTTAGTTTTTTGTGGAGGAGTAGGGATCGAACCCTCTGATTGGTGGACGACTTGCTCTTCCTCCTGAGCCTCTGCCGCAACGCTTCAGCAGAAAGGTCAGCTAGCAACTAAATGAATCATGCCGGTATAAAAAAGCTTTTCCCATGTGCTGTAGTTGTGCTGGCCCCCTAAAAATACAATACACAAGAAATCATCCAATCAAATGCTTCCTCTCACCTTCACACTGCATTCCCATTTACAACAAAGCACTACTGCTAAAGCATTAACACATGATCCATCAACAGAAACTAAAATGCCCTTGTGATAGTAACAATTTATTGTGATAATGATTTTCTATCAAGCAGGACCTTCAATTATGTCTCTACATAATTTCCCAATTAATGAAACCATTTGGCAAGGCTCAGTTACAACAGTGTCCACATATTAACTGTAGATTGTCATTGGCTGTAGCTATTTAACTAAGGTGAACTTTCCTCCAGTCCATAGACAGGGTACACATAATTCATCCCTTTTTTTATAACTTTAATAACAGCTTTGTGTGAATGTGCCAAGCAGCAGCATTGTTGCCTTATTTACATTCTGACAGCCAGCTTTGACGCATCGCCACATGCTGGCACACAGAAGCTGTCCTCTCCTCAAATGGCCTACTAAGTAGCTCCTGGACATCAGCAGTCTGTCTGAACTCTTTCTGACTGCTTGTTTCACATGTTTCCAGCCTGGTTCCTCTGGTGGCTCTCAGACACAAACTGCTTCTGTCACCCGACACTGAAATACAGCTGGTTTCTGCACCGACAACATCATTCAGCTTTATCTTCCATTTCTTTCTGACGAATACAACAATAAGAGAAGAAGAGCACAATGCAGATGCTCCTGTGAACAATGTGACGCGGACAATGTCTTTCGGGATGATTTGTTTGGCAGCTTTTGTCATTATAAAGTCACCATGGTAATGAAGGACAACATGTCGCTGTTGGTAGTGTGGAGGAAAACAATAACAACTCCAATCCATCAATGTTTGGACAAAAACCAAGATAAGAAGTTGTATTCCAGCAGCCAGAGAGAGATGCATTCAAACCCTAATCCAATGAGAAAACATTGAAAGACCACAGACTTAAACTCATTACACAAAATTCAATCATTTATGTAGAACATTTCGAAGTGAGATTAGAGATACTGAGCACATCTTCCTGGATGTGAAATGAATCAGTCATGTTTAATTAAAGATGGCATTGGCTGCCAGTCAGTTTTCACTGAGCAGAAAGCCAGAACGTGACAAAGAAAAAGCATGCTAGCATTTACGGCAGGGAGAAGCTCATGTAGCTGCAGGGAAGACACATTCAAGACAACACTTCACACATCGAGGAGACAGCAGAGCTGCAGGCTCATTCCCCCGTCACCACCACTGGTGTGACAACTTGAGCTTTGTTGCCTGGACTATTCCCTCAGCACTTACCACCTGAAGTACAACATGTCTACTTCATACTGTAATAGGGAGCAGCCTTGTACATTATCTATTTCCTGAGTCATTTAAAAAAACGTTGGTAATACAGTATTCAAAAATGGTATCACTAAAAGATATGTGGTTGATCTATCTATCTATCCAATTCTTAGTTGATATGAATACAAAAACATGAGGTTTCCTTCAATAACAGTATGATATTGTTTTGAATGTATTCCATAACAATACACATTGTTTGTTGTCAAAGTGACGCAGTATAATACTTGGACTTCCTTACGATTGTGTATTAATGAGACAGAAAAGTAAGATGATCATTTAAAAAATAGACCTTTGTTGGGATTAAATTCCTTAAGGTATTCAGTTTGGAGTCTAAATATGTCCCTAGTTTGTCTCTACTCTCTAAATTGGCATACTATTAGTAAAGTTAAGGCTACAAAATATATAATTTTCATTATCATCTTTAACAATATAATTTTCATTATCAACTTATGCTTACATTTATTTTAAATGCGTTACCTTTGTAAAATATCAAAAAAGGAGAGAAAATACACATACAATTCTAAAGTGATGTGATGTGTTCTAATGTCTTGTCTAAAGTAAAAAACTCAATGATAATAACAATACATTATTAATGTACATAAAGACACACAAAAAGCTGCATATCTTCTCATTTAAAAAGCAGCACATATTGCCATGTTTAGGTTAATAAAATAACTTTTCGTTTGTGTATCGATTTGTTCGACTAATTTCCGGTGTGGGGTCAAATTAGCTAATCATGCTTTTTGTTTTGGTGAAGGACAGTTGGCGTGAGGACTAGCAAGTTCACTCGGAAATAAGTCAAGTAAAGCAATTAAAAGTAAGCCTGAACTACAAAACAGTATAGCCTGTTAGGAGCGTTTTACACTACAGTACATCCACCTCAGATACATTTGGCAATATTAGGAGATACAAAAGCTCCCCTGTACGCAAACACAACAACTACGAACAACCAGAGGCTAATTTTTGTATCCTTATCTCCTTTCTTGATACATTTTACTGCATTTGCTAAATCGCCAAAATGTTTAACACATTGAACCAAATCCAACAACACATTGCCTCACTCACTCTCGTGCTTGGAAGTTCCCCATGTGTGCCGCGGAACTCCCGGGCTCTTGATAATCGCTCTGCCGGCGGATTTCAGGGCATCCATCCCGAGGTGTGTCTGCTCTCCGGCAGGTGGATTCCCCAGTCTCTGGACCACAGGGAGGTAACTACAGCAGGCTGAGCTCGACGGTGAATGCGCCAAAGAGGGAAGAGGCGAAAAGAGAGCCCACTGATATAAGTTCCCACCCTGAATCACTCTGGTTTCCTCCCCACCACAGAGACCGTCAAGCAGCCGAGGGCACACGCACCTACTGCACCGTCTCCAAAGTTAAGGGCGTGTCCCTCTAAGCTTGATGAGCCGACAGTCCAAAGTGCTCAGTTTGAAGGAACGACCTTCATTAAATAATCAGCACAGTCAATCTCGTAGGGCTTCTGTGGTTTATTGACCTTTGGTGCAAGCTCTGTTGCCAAGTTTTTTTTAATGCATTTTTTAAAACTATAATTCCCTGTTTTATTCAGGCCAGATCACAGAAATGTCCAGTGCTTAAAAAAAAACTAAACAATGTGTGAATACCTGACAATATTTCGGTTAAAATGATCAACAAACAACCACATTACTCGGCTTCATATTCATAGAGGCAATGCTTAAAGTTTAACTTTGTGTGTGTTGGCGCCCTCTATTGGTCATATGCAGTTATTACAAGATGGTTGAGAGTGACCCATGTTTTGACAAAATAAACTGTTGTATTAATCCTTATAAAACCAAAAGTAACGTGCCAGATTTGACCTAAGACAGTGGTTTCTATACAGAGGATAATGGATAATGACATCCAAAAGAGTATTAGTATTATTAATTAGTAGAGTAAAGAAGAAACAAAAGATACAAAAATTAACCAAATATATCTTCTTCTTAGACTTTCCTTAAACTTTGTTTATGTTTGTGGATTATTTCACTACAGACAGATATTCAAATAAAACAAGGGGGAACATTGTTAAACTTGGATTCTAGTTGTATAAGGTCAAAAGAAATTATGTTGGATGTCAAAAGTAGGGATATAAAAAAGTATAATTATATGACACATTCCCCCTATTATGCCATACAAGGTACTATTCGATACCACTTGTAATCCCGCTAAGGAATAATTATTTCTGACAGACACAAAAGATGCATTTAGTTTTTGTCCTTCATGGTGAAATCTTTATTTAATTTCTCTCAACAACCCAGTACAGGTTATCATGTAATGTCCGAGATCATCTCTCACAAGTATTTCACACTCAGGAAGCTAAGCAGAGCATGTATAATCATGTATTTCTCATAAATCCTCTAGTAGGGGTTATTAGAGTTTAGCCTGAGGTGGCATGTTGCTGTTGTCATTTTGGTGCTCGGTGGTCATTTGAGAGGGTCTTTAGTTTATATTTAATGCTCTCAGCAGCGCACACTACTGCAACTACACTGACTGCTCTCTGTGTGCGTGTGTGTGTGTGTGTGTGTGTGTGTGTGTGTGTGTGTGTGTGTTAATCTGAATGTGTGTGTTCATGTGCTATCCTGTATACACAGCAAGTAGTAGAATCATGCAGCTACTTTAAAATGTAAGACTCTTCAGAAAAAGACTTCAGTGTTGCTGCCATGTTTTTGTCACTAATGCAAGTATCTGCATTAGAGTGAACATTTTTACAAACTAAAGCAATGTCCCCCTCTCCAGTTTGAAAGGAAATAGCCTCTTAAGGCTACAAGCTTTATAAATGGAACCCATCAAATAGCCTCTTAAAGGCTAAAAGCTGCACTAAAATGATGCAAAAGTAACATTACCTCCTGTCTGCTTCCATGGAAGACAGTGGATTTGAGATTATTAGTTATAATTAACCATACCATCATTTCAAATACTTCCATGTCACGGAGCACCATTCACTCCAATAGAGAAATGTTACAGGCTTCAACAGTTTTCAGATGTCGTTTTTCATCTGGTTCACAAAAGAGTTGTCGAACAGTGCAGCATGCATCATCCGTTTAAGGTTGTCCAATTCAGGTGAGCACTGCATCTAAAAAGACCGGAGATATTCCGGAGAAAAAAAATCCCCCCTCCTGTCTTATAACTTGGCTTGAGATTCATGTGATATGTACTCGCTGACACAACAGATTCTGTATCTCCCATAAAACAAATCATGCTTGTAGGGGTCTCTTTATTTGTAAAGGGAAGAGGGTGGTGAGGTCACTAAAGAAGTGTAAGAGCACAGCCAGACAAAGAGAGGGCTGCATGAAATAGATTTATGGTAGAGGGGGTGTAAGGTAGTCCTTTAGAGAGGACAACATAGAAAAAATCCAGGCTGAGCTAGTCAGCTAACATGCTCTCAGTCACTTCTGTTTTAGATTCATTGATGGACGCTATCCTGTCTGATTTTCAGTCTATCCCCCCTCCAATTTTTATTTCATAGTCTCATGCTATTTGTCTCATTCACACACTCACACACTTTCTCATTTGCTATCTCTAAACCCACGTCTTCCTTAGAGGCTGGAGCTAGAAGGCAACTGGTGGGAGGGGCCGGTCTTAGAAGCAGGAGGTGGCCTTGGCGATTTTCAGGTCAATCCAATGGCACGTCAGCTAATGGATTTCTTTCCACCTGACTTATCTTTAACCAAGTACAATGCCTGCATTGGACGACCTCATACACCGTCTATTTCAAAGACTGGAAAAACTGTCCCTTCGTCTCCTGCCTCCCCTCCTGGTTTCTCTCTTCCCTCCTGCTCCTCGCTTTCTCCTCCTCCCCCCTCTCGTCTTTCTTCCAGTTCTGAGGCACACAGGTAGCCTTGGGACTGGGACTGCGTGTGTCCCAGGGACTCCACCGACAAGCTTTGGCTAGACAGAATGCTACTGAGGCTGGACTGGCGGACACCTCTGGGTTGGGTCTCAATTTCCACACGCACTTCAAAATTGGTTCCTTCCCTGTGGTGACAGTAAGAGACATGAATAAATCAATATGAAACTGCTAGGCAATCAAAATGTTTCTGACTTGAGGACATCTTTATGATTCCAAATCTAAAGTCACATGATATATATATATATATATATATATATATATATATGCATAGCTGTGCTTTAGTTTAAATGCTAACATGCTGATGCATAGAATGTATACCTAAAGTTTTAGCATGCTAACTTCAGAATCAGAATCAGAAACAGGTTTATTGCCAAGTAGGTTAACATATACCAGGAATTTGCCTTGGTGTACTTGCGCTTTTTAGCAACAATGTACAGTTGAGGCTGATAGGAATGTCATCAGTTTTTCAAAAATGTTGGACAAATTAGTATTTGAGTAGAAATAATCCCGAGAGGAACATGGATATCTTTACCAAAGTTCATGGCCATATATCCAACAATGTTTGAGACATTTCAGTACGAAGCAAAGTGGTGGACAGACGAATAATCAAAATGTCAAACAAATGGCATCCCTAAAGCCATGCCTTGAACATGTTGGGTGTAGATACAGTCTATGGTAGAAACAATCAACAGAATAAGAGGTGACCTGTACCTAAAAGAAGGAGCATGTGTGTCATCGAGCTTGCTGTCAGGCACAATAACCACCTCGCAGTCCGATTGGCTGTCCTGCTGGGAGTATCCGTGGTGTTTTGTGGCTTCATCCAATTCCTCATAACTATCTAGCTCCGGGGGCGTGGTACTTGTACTAGGGAGGACGCCCACTTCCTGTACACTGACTCTGACTTCCTGGACGCTGGTGTCACTGAGCGTTGGGTTCTTCTGACCTGGCCAGTGGTCACTGACTACATGAGAGAATAGAAGATCTATAAGAGAAGTTGAAACTCAATCAGATCAGGTCGTGGGAAGAGCACAAATAACAATGAACAGATGACAAGAGTCTTTAACCTAAGTTAGCTTTACGGTGGTCAAAATAATTAGCTTTAACATTGGATATCGCTAATTTGATTTTGTATGTTGCTCATTTGTATGAAGCTAGAGCCTTTATAAGATCTACCCACCAGTTTAAAAATATGCCTACATGCTACTTCCAACATGTATATTTACTGATAGACACATTGTATTTTTTTTAACCAAATACAAACATTTATTTTCTTATGGGTTTCTTATTTGGGATTTATACTATGTTATGCTAAGCAAATTGCCTCATGTATCCAGCTCCATGGTTTACTGTTAAATTCAATTGATAGCCATTTTCTCATTTAATTCTCGAAAATACGCATATTTCCCAAAATGTCTAACTATTTTTGATAACCGTGTACTCACAGCTAGCTAAGTCCTCCAGTTGGATTTTGTGTGTTTCAAGCGGCTCATTCTGGGGTCGACACCAGCCGTTCCTACAGAGCGACATTGGGACGACCCCATAGACATACGTCAGCATCAGTGGCACACCCATACCTGCAGGGAAAAAGAAAAGTATGAGAAACCAATTCATAATATATTTCTCACAATCAGTGGTTTAAAGTCTGTGCCAAATATCTGTTACAGTAATAGCATACAAATGGTTATTGAAATACTTGTCTTTTAATTTAAAATTGTATTTTAATAAAGTCGTCATTTCAAGTTTCAAAGCATTGCAACACCTCAAATAAACACAAGAGGGAGCCCCTCCTGCTTCATTGTCTCCTGCTGTCAATAAAACATTAAATAACTAATGAAGTGTTCACTGGGTAGATCACCCGTCTTCAAGTCAAAATAAGAATAAAGCCGCAAATAACGATTGTAGCCAAGAAAATATTCCTTTCCACACATTAAATGTCTCCCTACTCTCCTTCATAACCTTCACTAAAGCCGTTGCAATCAGTCCAGAAACGTGATGAGCTTCCCTACACAGTGTGATTATGCAACCTGTGATTGAGATAGGAATTTGGAAACACAAAGCAGAGTGCCGACCAAACAAAGAGACATCATTAACACAACGGGAGCACTGGGACGCTATTGACTGGATACAGGGTGAAGCCAGGGCAAGAGGAAGAGCCTGCTAGCCAATCAGCTCACAGAAAGACAGGATGTGTGTGTGAGTCAAACAGAGAAGACGGGGGGAAATATAAGAAATATAAGAAACAAAACCATAATTGTAGTGCGGGGAGAGAGGAAAATGATAACGACGGAGTAGATGCAAACCCGGGGGGGGTGAAAAGTACAGTGTGTGTGTGTGTGTGCGTGCGTGCGTGTGTGTGTGTGCGCTAATTGAAAAGTGGTGGCTAATAGAGACCTAGCTTGTGGGTATTTATAAAGCAGTAAACTTAAGATTTATGATGTGAATTTTTGAACAACCACGATCAAATAGCAATATATATTTAGCAGAGAATTAGAATCAAAGGAGGATCAAGCTCCAACTCTG